TCTATCTATCTATCTATCATAAGTGCCTTCTTGGATGCCCAAGCTGCTGCTAAGATAAAACTTAGGTTTACTTCAGAAATGACTACCTTATTGTTGTTATGTTGTTGTTACTCGATTCTTTTTATACCTACATCAAGGACATTTTGAAAGTATTTCTATTATTTCTATTATTATTTATAATTTGTCATGGTGTTGCTTGTATGAACGTATATTTAAATATTACCTTTTTAAAAAATATTTTAGGGGCTTTAATACCTTTGTTTGATAGCACAGGTAAATACAGAGAGAAAGAGAGGGGGGACCACATGTATCAAAGGGCTGCAGGGCAGTACCGAATCCTTACCAGTAAGGACCCAGGGCCCCAATATTAGCTGTTTAAATGATTTGATTCTGTTTTTTCTCTCTACTAATTTTTCACTTGTAAATGAGATATCAATCTCAATGTGACTTCCCGATAACATATATAAATTATATATGTACAATGTCTTTATCAGTCACTATTTAACTTTCCACTTTTTCATATATGATAAATAAGCCTACATTGTAGAGAACAAAAAAGTGTAGTTCCTTATTATGTATGCAACTGGATTGTTTTGAAAACACAGAAGAGCAAAGACAAAGTCTTTGAATGCTTGATGGACACCCTGATGGACACCCTTTTATGAAGGTGTCCATCAATTTATCCCATATGTTTCTGCAAACTGCTTTAATGTAATATAATAAACAGTGCATCCAGTTATGAGTAAGATTTAGGTTATGTCCAAAAAGTGACAAGATCCAACATGATACAAAAGTGCACTTTCTGGCTGGAGAGGCTGAAATGTTTATGGCACCCAGAGTGCAAGGAGCAACATTCTGCTCTTAGATTCTTACCAGTATTGGGGTTAAAAATGTAAAGTTGGTCCTGAGGATAGTCTTACATGAATGAGATTAAAATTAAACACCAGGGGAATATGAATGTACTCAGAAAATGTCATGGCATGAGAGAGATGAGATATCTTGTGTGTACAGTTAACATTTTGTCATAAAGAGGAGTGTAGTAGAAATTCATAATGTGTACCAAATGAGTGTTCAATATTTAAGCATTCAAGTGCTCTGAGGCAATCTTTCTATTTGCTTTTTTAACATGTCTTGTCAACACCACATTATACTAAACACCCATTATGAGATTTCTTCTTTGAATCCATGTCGCCCTTGCATAGTTGACATCTAGATGCCAGAACCGAACCCACACAGCTGTCCTGTATATACTGTATGTATAAATCATTCCTTTTGTATGCTGCCCTGTTTCCCAACCAACACAATGGGGTGTTGCACATAATTCTGGACCCTGTACATAGGTATTCTGTATGGGCCACTCCCCATTCAGACATTTAGACAAACACATTATGCACCTTACCAATCTTCTGAGATTTTCCAGATCTACCAGGAGACCACACGGATCCACCTTTTAAACATGTTCATAGGTCCACTTCTGTCCTTTCAAATCCACATCATAACCAAAATCCAGCTGGATCCACAAGGCTGCTACTAAAACCAGCATAGTTCTCCAGTTGTCAGTTCTGGATCAAAAATATCTCCCAAGTCTTTCTTGAAATGGCCCCATTCTGAAGCTCTTTGTCTGTCTCAGCCACATATAGTACTGCTGCGAATTCAGCCAGCACTGATCTTAGTTTTAAAGTTGTTTGTCTAAATGGTCACTAGACTTCCTTCTATTCTTTCCCAACTTAGTTTTCCTGCCTGTGTTGCTTCATTTCCCTGGACTGAGCTAAATATAGGGAACACACAAGGTAAAGTGGAAAAAGCAGAGCAGGAAATGTATCACAATATGCTTGTGTGCACGTTCGTGTTTGTTTCTGCATATCTTCCTGTCTCAAAACCCACCAACATTCATAATGTTTGTATAGCTAGATGTATAGATCTATCTATCTAGATATGTTACCCTATTAGGGAAATTGTTTTTACACTCTTTTTTATTTACACACACACACACACACACACACACACACACACACGTGTGATGGCGGAGTGATGGGCTGCCAAGTTAGTGGCACCCCATGAGCAGCTTCTTGGGGCTAGGTTGCCTTGCTCAAGGTCACCTCGGCAGTGGACAGGAGGTGAAACTGGCACCTCTCCAGCTACCAGTCCGCACTCCATATTGTGGCCTGTGGGACTGGAACCGGCGACCCTCCGGTTCCCAAGCCTGTTCCCTAATAGTCGATTAAATCATTAGTTGATGAAGAGAGTATAGCTCGTTCACGGCTTGTTCACACTGCCCATGTCTGGGTGGCGGTACGTCTTGATTTTTATTTTAGCGGTCAGATTAGAGCGGTAACACTGCCCGTGTGAGACGCTCCTCTCAGCTGCGTCTGCAGCGACGCTTCACTAGAGAGTCTAGGTCTTGCCTATTTTTACCGCGAGCGTCTCCCAGCAAAATAAGACAGTGAAAGGAAATGTTGGTAGTCATATTCAAGTATTTCAGTACAGTTTAAACTTCCTTTTCAAGGTAAAAGCACTGCAGTAAACATTTATCCAACATGACTTCACTCGGGAAAGAATTTCCGGTGAGCCGGATGAAGGGCAGTATCTTTCCCCTGGTCACACACAATCTTGTATTACAGATAAACAGTACACTAAAATATAATTCTGAAATAATTATGGGTGAGGAATAGGCAACACAGTAACAGTATCTTATTGTGCCTTTCTAGTCTTCCAACCACTCAAAGTGCTTTTACACTACAAGCATGCCACATTCGCCCCTTCACACACATTCACTCAATGATGGCAAAGCCACTAACAGCAACTAATGCATTCATACACATCCACACTGATGCACAGCATCAGGAGCAATTTGGGGTTGTGTATCTTGCTCAAGGATATTCGACACATGGCGGGAGGAGCCCGGGAGGGTGCTACAGTGTTCAGTGTGGATGAGGTGTGTCCGCCCACCCTCAACACCTGCGATCTGCCCTCCAGGAATGGTAAATGGATGGTAAATGGACCTGTACTTGTATAGCGCATTGGTCCAATGTGCTGAGTAATGAGGAGCAGATTTAACCTGGACCAGTTGTTCTATCACTACAGGGGTGAGTGCTGGATCAGTCTGTGGCTGAAAGTGCTTCTGAGCTCCTGAGGATGAAGTGTTGTCCATAATGTCTTTC